CCTTGTCCTCCTTTGCAGTTAGGACATCTGGTCACCCTGGATCCAGTGCCATAACAAACTACAAATCCCAAGATTCCATGGGATGCTATTGCCATTAGTATTATTCCTCCCTCAGGCGTAAGGTTAACATTTATCATTGCCACTTCCTCCAACAGCTACAAGGTGCCTGGCCATTCTTAACAGCTCTGCGGCAGGTATCCGCACTGCCAAAACAATCCAGTCTGACACCACTTTAACTGCCATGGCTGAGTGCTACAGAATTTTGGGATTTGTGGTTTCCGTGAGGCACCAGAGCTCTGTGACAGGGAAGGCACAGAACTACAAATCCCAGGATTCCTTAGCACTGAGCCATGGCGGTTAAAGCGGTATCAAACTGCATTATTTCAACAATGTAAATGCACCCTAGGTCTTCTATCTAGGGGTGCATCTACACAGTAGAAATAATGCAGTTTGACACCACTTTCAGTGCCATGGCTCAGTGCTAAGGAATCCTGGGATTTGTAGTTTTACAAGGTCTGTAGCCTTCCCTACCAAACAGTGCTGGTGCTTCACAAAACTACAAATCCCACGATTGGGTAGGATGGAGCCGTGGCAGTTAAAGTGGTGTCAAACTGCATTGTTTCTAAAGTGTAGATGCACCCTAGGTCTTTTTCGCTCAGGAGAAAGACTAAAATAAGGGGTGCTATGATTCGATTCCCAGCCTAGCTATGGAAACCCACTGGGTGACCTTGAGCAAGAAGTCACACTCTCTCAGAACTCAGGGGAAGGCCATGGCAAACCCCCTCAGAACAAATCCTGCCAAAAAAAACCCACACCCCATAATAGGTTTGCCATAGGTCAGAAGCAATTTGAACATACAGAAAAACAACAACAATGATAAAGATTATATAGCACTGAGCCATGGCCGTTAAAGTGGTGTCAAACTGGGTTATCCCTGCAGTGCGGACGCAGCCTTACCTTCCTTGCATTTCCATCCATGCATCTTTTCCTACCCTGTCACCTTTTATATTCCACCCCACTGCAAGGCATATTTGCTCCTATGTAGCAGTTATTATTTGAACAAATAAATTAAATTAAAAATTAAAAATTAATTTAATTTTCATTTATTTCAAGAATTTATATCCCGCGTTTCTCCCACAATGGGATTCAAGGCAGGTAATTTTTATTTTTCCTGGGCTGGTATATACACAATGACTGTTTGTATAGTTAGTTATTTTTGTAATTATCTATGTAATTATTTATTTAATTTTCATTTATTT